CTGTGCGATTTACTTGCCACCGCCGCCGCCACCACCACCGCCTCCGCCGAGTTCAAGGTTGAGACCACCGCCTCCACCGCCGCCGCCGCCTCCACCGAGTTCTTCAAAGGTGAGACCACCACCGCCACCGCCGCCGCCGCCACCACCGGGCAGAGGTTCTGGCATGGCTGTAAAGAATAGATGTCGTTTTTGTAATTAATCGGTAAGTCGATTATTTGAGGGTATGTATGTATGTATGTAGTGTTGCTTTGCTAATTTTGGACTGAGTCCTGTAACTCACCCATAGCCATGGCCACTAAGGCCAGGACAAAAGCAAAAAGAGCGTAGAACTTCATGATGCAAATACTGAAACTGCAATGTCTGAAACCACAGTGAATGTCGATATTTATACTCGGTATCATCAAGCTCAGTCTCATATCAAATGTAGCTGACGCAATAAACTTGACCCGGTGTTTTGATGCGCTCTTAAATGCATAGCGATAACAGCAGACACATGTGCCTGTGGAGAAGTATGTATGGGTATGTATGTACATATGTGTATGCATAAGTAGTTGATAAAGGTTACTTTTCTATTTTCCCAGAAAAGATAGCAAGTTATAAAGGGCTATGTGGAAGGGCATCCCAATATTATATTCGCTTTCAGTTTGTAATAATCAAAGTCTCCAGCAAAACTTTAGAATAATAAATATACTCGAATACTCGAGAACATGTTTCCACGCAATCTCGTTAAGTTATCCCACATACTGACTGACAAATTAGGGATAAAATATGCTAAAATAACTAAAATCATGTTATGTTATAAATGGTAGCTGTGGAAACTCGTTGAAATAAATAACCGCTATTTGAGGTTTGAGCCGTAGTTTCAAATTTTGTTTTTAATTATTTTGGGTATATGAGGGTTAGGGGTAGTATTGACCCGATTTTATTTTTATTTGGCCAAATGTTATTACCAAACAAAGATGCTTTATAAGTTTTAACCAAAAGTTTGAAAATCCTTTTATTAGGTATATGGGGCTAGGAGAAGGTTTCACCCGATTCTATCTATTTTAGGTACAAGGAAACACTGTTATTTGGAAGCCAGACTCTTTGAATCTCATTAATTTAATTCACACATTGACCGGTATATAAGATATAAAGTTAACCGGAATTTCGAAAATCTTTATATGGATATCATATCATAGGTGAAATATTGACCCGATTGTATGAGAAGTAGACATGGTTGTAGTCCGGTTTCGCACATTTTTGTACTCTAACTTAGACAGGATAATGTTAGTAATGTACGAAATTTGGTTGAAATTGGTTGAGTAGGTCCGGGGATATGGGATGTCGCCTAAAGGTGAGAGGTGCCACGCCAATCGTTCAATTTTAACACCGGCTCTTATAAAGGACCTCTTTTACCATCTCAACTATAAAATTTAAGTCCTTTATGCATTTAGTTCAGTTCAGTTTATTTCATCCATTTTCACACTGTCGGAAGGTGAAAAAAATGTTCTGAGTATATCTGGTTGTTTTGGCTTTGGTGGTTTGGGAGATATGTACATCCATTAAACATTTTAAGGACGGGTCACGCTCACTTTTTAAAAATTTTCAGTGCCCAGATTCTCTTCTCCTCTGCTATCCCTCACACCAAATTTTAATTTTGTATCCTTTTGTGGAGCTTAGTTATAGCACTTTATAAGTTTACGATTAACGGCATTTTTGGACGTAGCAATGATCCGAATCCGGTAATAGTGATTCATATAACTCTAATAAAACGAGTTTCGAACCAGCTATTGCCCTCATATCGTTTCAAACCGTGCATATTTCTCTAAAAACGTATTGAACGTAATGTAGTCGGGTGCTGAAACATACAAAATCTATCAAAGAATTACCAATTTCTTAGCTGATTTTTAGTTGTTGTTATTCGCAAGATATTTGCTTTAGTTGTCTTTAAATTAAACGCCGTCTCATGTTAACTCATGTCCACTTCTATTATGATGACATTTCGCCACGATTTAATTGCTTTTAAAATGCTATCATAAAATATTATAGAAATGAAATCACAACTGTTTTCATTAGTATGACTACATACAGTGAATTTGGATAATGAAAACCTCTCTTAATGAAGAAACCACACATAAAGGTATTTAAGGTGTTATGCCTTGAAGTTGAAATATGGCATTACCAAGATCTAACCCAAGGAGTTCTTAAATCATTAAAAACCTAGAAAAAATATATGTGCAAATGTCCTCGCTTTATTACAAAGCACGAAATTAGACTGTTATAATGGTAGAATTACCAAATGTCTATGGCATAGCTGCAATCCTCCAGTTTTTTTCTACAGGCACCATTATTTTCATCAACAGCAGGCTTCAGTAATCAGGATTCCGTGCGATTGGTTAACACTATAAAAAACAAGTAAGGAAGTTCTAAGTTCGGGTGTAACCGAACATTTTATACTCTCGCAACTGGCAAGGATCAAAGCCCGGGAAATTACATTAGGTGTTAGCAAACAACCGTTAGGTGAACAAAATATTATACTCTGTAGGAACATGTTGCGAGAGTATAATAAACGTTAAAAGACAGTTTTGTTATCACATGCGAATGATTTTGCTTGTGCAATATTCAACTGGAGTTTCTATAAGAGTGTCATTACGAAAATTCCTCCAAAATGCACCAAGTTAATAAATAAAAACTCCATGTTGTATTAATGTCTCCTTCAGAAGGGAAGATACTCTTGAAAATTTCTTCTCTCATCTTTGCTGCTCGACAGTAATTACACTATCACTTAATAGTAACTTAATAATTATGATAACAAACCATAAAAATGCAAATTATTTTTTGTTTATCAAATTAGATTTATTAATGTAATAATTTGTTCTAAATTGTTGATCCAAACAGTCAATTCAATTAACAATGTCTTAAAGTATGTCTGTTGATGCCTGTGCGATTTACTTGCCACCGCCGCCGCCACCACCACCGCCTCCGC